GTACTATCAGTTTTTCCATTAGAAAAGTAATTTCTCAGGTTTTTCTTTACATTTTTAACATGCCACCAGGATATAAGGAAATCTTTGGTCTCTTGCCTCCCCACCTTCTCCCAAATGTTCATTTTAAAACAGTCTTCAAGTAATTAAGTTATGTGCTATTCTGCAAATCCTTTACAGCTATTACAATATAGTTATCAAGAATTCCATCCATCTGGCACAAAAATTTCACTGACTTCAACAAAACATGGTAGAACTTCAAGCAAGTCCCATGAGGAGGGACTTTGAAATAAAGTTCAAAATATTTCATGATTACTTCTTACAAGAGTGTTCTGTTTTATTTTCCTAGTGACCCATAGCTATTCTTATCTTTACTTTTTCTCTATCATCCATTTCTAAGCAAAGGTCATATATTTGTAACTTTATTTTCAGATTCTCCTGGCAAAAAATCAGAGATGCGGGAAACTTTCTCTCAGCCTCAAATAAGTCAACTGCCAGAGTTTCAAATTCTGGCAAACCAACTTCTCCAAGGCCTCGTAAAAATTCTAGGCTGTTATCTCCATATGCCTGATAGACTTTTTTTGTGATCATAATTAAAACCGTCTGTCCTTTCTCTGTGACTTCAGGAGAATGGCAATGAGTCGCAAGCTCTGAAAAAGCTAGAAGAACAGAGGCTGGAGTTATCAGCTCAGAGTCACTTAATCTGCTATATTTCATCTACATACCTGTAGATGCAAGGCACTGCCATCTGCCTCTTAAGTCAGGTGACTTCGACACGAGTCAACCAGGGCAGAAGGCAACTTCACAGTAAGCATCAAGAGACAGAGTCTGGGGTTTGGATGGAACCAAAAAAACATGAAAAATAAACTAATTTAGGTTAGTGTAATTTTTGTTCCTCTTTTATTATCTGTTAGACTTTCTCTGTTTTCAGTGATATCCGAATAAGGGTTTTTTGTTTGTTTGTTTGTTTTTAATAAATAAGAATACATGAAAAGTAGAATGATATATGCAGAAGGCACAGAAATAATACTGAAAGCATTCTCAGTTTTATTTTAGGGAGAAATACTTAACCTTCAAAATATCATTTTGAAAACTAATTTACTATGATATTTTATTCTGTAGTATTTGTGGCTCTGCTCTTATTTTTCACACCTTGATATCCACTTTCCAAATGTTGTTGATTTCCTGTCATTTTTGAGCAATCTTTACTTTCAAGGCTTTCTTGCTACTTAAAGAAAGTGTGTTCACCAAGCAGGTTACTTTTCAGCTCCTCTAGTTCTTGATATCCTGCTCTTGTAAAATAAGAATGCATTTCGGCAACAAATTGGTCTGATGTTAGAAGAGGAGATGCTGGGAGTTCTAAATTTAATAACAGCCCTAACAAGCTAATAGTGTTCCTGAGGTTTGTCTTCATAGGCAATCTGATGCTCAGGGAAGCGAAATGACTTTTTGATGTTGTGCTTGGAAGTTCAGTTCCTCCATGATATTATCAATTATCATCATCAACTTTGGCTCCCAAATTTTGGGGAGAAGTTGAATATCGTGTTAGGATGACAGCATATGCCTGAAGCTTCAATATGCTCGCTGCCTCCCGAGACTCGACCTTGGTCCTCACAGGAGTTCAGAGGACCAAGCTTCTCTGAAGGTCTGAATTTTGGGTGGTATTGTTTCTTGTTTTCAAAAGGAGTTTGGTATTTAGGACTCTCTGAGGTCCTGGATCTAACTCTGCACAGGTCCTGCTTTTTAAATGGAATAAGGTTTGGTTTCAGAGACTGGATCCCTATCAGGGTCTGCAGTGCTGCCCTAACAAAGGAGAGCATATATCTACAATGAAAGAAATACTTTAAAAAGAACAAATACATTCCTGGTACCATTTCCTTATAATCAACATCAGAGATGAAATTAGAAGCAACCTGGTTAGGTCAAGTGTTTTAATAAATATATTTCTTCAACAGATAGTAATATTAAAAGGTTCTCTTATCATATTTAGTTTGATTTCATGGTAACATGTACAACTATTAATATAAACAGCCTTATCATTCAATTTTCTATTGAGCATTCCTTTTGTAGTTTTATTTTCTCGTTAGTTTCCTGCTTTATCATTCAGAAGGTTTGCACTATATTCTTGCACATATTTGGTTTGGTGCCCAGAAATGTATTATTTTAACAGGGCTAGTTCATTTAAAGTTATTACTTTACAGGGGTTCTACAACGCATACATAACTATGCGTATGTCCTTCTACAATGAACATTGTGGTAAAGTTACTACTAAGAATCTTGTTTTTTAGAGTTGATCATATCTGCTATATTGTTACAATTATTTGATCAATCCAGCCTCTAACTTTATTTTTTATGTATTTATTTATTTTAAAGAAAGGAGTTCTTAATTGTCAAAATATAATTCTTATTCTTTCTTCAGTAATGTTGGTCCTTCAGAAGCTATCAGGATTGTCAATCATCCTTTCTTTTATCGTAGCTGTTCTTATGCAGAATTCTTTCAGTCAAAACCAGTAACCCAGTGTTCAGTGACTTACACGTGGATTGACTGTGATGCTCTCTCAAAATCAAAATTGATTTCAATATGTATTTTTATATGTATTTCTGTTTGCTTGTGGGTTCTTTGAGAATATGTCCAAATATACAATAGAGTTCTTGTTTTGTTTAAAGACTTTAATAAAGTTCTGAACTATCAATTTTCTGTTGAAGAGAATCTAGATGAATTTGCAAGATAAACAAATCTTTAAAAGTAATGTAATTTCTTTGAAACTTTTCTATGAAGCTCTATCACAAGGCAGCCTCAAGGCTCAAAAAAGTACATAAAAAATTAAAAAATCTGCACAACTTCTGATGAGAGTTGAATCTGACAAACTTTTGCAAAGAATTGGCATTGAAAGATGGGGTGTTGGTGTGAATGGTGTAACAGAGTATTGCACTAATGTAGCTGGTCAGGTGCCAGTGTTTTCAAGCTGACCTGAATATCATGTAATGTGCTAGTATGACTTCAAAGTTACATAAATATCTTCTGTACTGAGATACCTGATTTGCTTCCTGCAGCTAAGGCAAAATGAGAAAATTCATCTATTACGCTTGAAGGAGACAGGGCATTTAAATATTTTGCTTCTTTTTTTCTCATCATTGCCCACCTGCAGCTTTGGAGGATAGGTTTGAGGCTGCTTAAACTAATCTGCATCAGCTGACTTGGATTCTTATGTCATTTGTTGGGTGGGTTTCAGGTATTTTTTTTTTATTTTTTCTTACCCTATACAGAGACTACGTTGGTTTTATGCCTTGTCCTGGTGTTGATGGGATATTCGTTACCTGTGCTTTCTACTTTAGTGGTTCCATGATTACATAGTTCTGAGCTGCAAAGACACACATGACTGTAAGGAACTAAGTATTCAATTAAATTTGGAAATGTTGTGCTTATGTCTTAAAACATAAAATTTTACACTATTATTGGAAAATGGACCCAGAATACAGGAAGTATCTTAGAGATATGGGAAGAAAAAAATAAATCTGCACACCATTTTCACAGTCTGTAGCCAGAATGAAGAGTTTACACACTCCACATACCTATTTCAAGTTTGTGTACAGTATTTCCTGTTGATGCTTTTTCTACTGTAATATAATGGTATTGTTGAAAGTTTGTGGAATGACAACATTCATGAAGTGGTAAAGGGAGGAACCTGCACAAAATAGAGTGTGATCAAGCCGTGCATCTGATGTTTTTTATCAAGTTCTTCTAGCCATTTAAGAAGTCAGTAGTGTTTAGATTTAAGTTTTTAAAAAGTTGAAGATTGTTTTTCCTAATAAGCATCTTAATTTATTCTCCCTTAGTCTAATGTTACAAATCTTGTTTTGTCTGAGTATTTCAGTGAAGTGGAGATACTATTACTCAGATTGCAGAAGACTATTCTTCTGGCTTGGGAGAGAAGGGCAGAAAACTGGTTGTGTAGGGTGGATGTGCTGATGGTATTTTCTTCTGTTGCAAGAGACACTGGACTCCATCAGTGTGATTCTCATAGCTATGTAGAAAAAGTGAAAGCCTGTGGTTAAAAGAGCATAAAATGTGTTATCTTAATTCTTATGTCTCTCTTGAAAATATGCTGTAGTATTATGTAACTTGTGCTGTTAGCTGATAATGTACTGTACATTTTTCCTGAAAATCTAATGGCAACATGTGTTTACAGTTATCCACTAGTATCTATTGCATTGTGTTTATTATATACTCTATGAAAGTGATAATGCATAGCTCTCATACTTAACAAAGCTTTTATTTTCTGCAAAACAGGGCTGTATTGGACTTAATTTCACTGTGAGGATAACTTTCAGTAGACACTTTCTTTAGGGTTCAGTAGCCTTCTATCAAAAATGAATCTTCAAAACTTCAATGAGAACCATAATATATATGATGATAATGATAATATTAGCCCATTGATTTCTAAAAGAAATCTAAAAGATTTCTTTTACTAAACTACTACTACTTTCTTTTACTAAAAACTACTAAAAGAAAGTTATTCTTAACTTCAGTGCTCAGTTTTAGTAGCAGTAGGCTACTGATTCCACTATCATTCTGCCAACAACAAATACTCAAACACTTCACAAAGATAAAAATAAATTCTCAACATACTTTAATGAAAATTATTTCTTGTTGTTTACTAATTTTAGAAGATCAGTACCAAATACTGTCGCATGAGAGGGGTGCTAGGAAGAAGCATCATGTTTTTGTGTTTACTTTTTGTAAGTATGTTTACTTTTTGTAAGTATCTTTCAAAATATTTTTTTTCTGAGGAGGAAGGGACAGTGAATAAAGCTTATAATAATATTTTAAGAATCAAAAGGATCAGCAATCCTTCTTGCTCCCTATAAAAAGCATGTGAAAAGTCTAATATAATTGTGTTTTGGGGTTTTTTTTGATTTTTTTTTGTTTTGTTTTGTTGTTGTTTTAGTGCTTTGTTTTACTTATTTGGCTTTTCTTTTTTTTTTTTTTCCTCTGCTTGAAGAAACCACCAAATTCTTCCAAGAAGTTTGACTGACATTGTGGATAATTGAGGAGGACAATCATGCCTGCTTGCTCTCTTGAAACAGAATACCAGTCTGTCATTACTCATGTTCATGATTGAATAAGGTGTGTTGCACTTCTAAACACTACTCTCTACTGAAACGTTAGTCTTATTCTTCTTGGATTCCAAGAGGATAAGTATAGTCTGAACTTTTTTTTTCCATTCAGATCTCTGGCTTGGTATCTGTTCAAGATGTACATGCACCCTTGGTTATTTGCATACTGCAATTAGCTGTGTCTGTGCTCTTCAGAGTTTGTAATTTACTTAGATTTTTGTTATAGAAACTGATTTAACTTGAAATCTATCCCTCTACATGCAAGACAATTTTGCCATTTTACTTCAGAAGCCAGACAATTTATAGATGAGCTCAGACCAAATAAATCAGAGAAGATATATTTATAGGTCTAATATACCATATATATTAATATATATTTTTAATCACTCTCAGACTGTCACCCTGCAGAAATAATTAGCTTCAAGCATGGCATACGCATCTGCTGTCTGAGCAGATACTATTGCTTGTAGGATGCTTCAGAACAGACAGCATTTGGAATAGTCACTGCCACTCCTTGCCTCAGTGATGAGGTGAGTCTCTTTAATTTCCCTACACTAATTCACCTCAATGGCTGTGTAACTATAATTATCCTTAGACTGAGCAATTTCTCCTCAAGAGAACATTTACAGTAATTCTGAACAAAGAAATATAGATTCACTCTCACATTAACTTTGTGCTTCACAGATGAAAAAGGTACTGATTCATTTTCTGCTCCTTAGCTACTTTTCTCCCAGCATAAAACCTCAGGAAACCCTCAGCCTGGCTTTCTGGAGAGGTGGGGAAGGACTACATCTCAGTGGTCTCAGGTTGACTAGATTTCTAACTATTCATGTATGCATACAGGTGGTTTGACTCCTAAATACACTGATCCTTGGATGATTCTATGTGAAGTTACCATGAGATGCAAGTTGAATTCTCATTTCTCTACAATTTTGATGGTGTGCGACTCTAGGCCCATTTTGAAAAGTTAGAGGTACTTTTATCCTCCTACAGCATCATAACAAAACATGTGGAATTATATGTGTGTGATAAAATGAACAATATCATAATTCAGATACCAGGACTTAAAAGGAAAAAAATGATTTGCAATGTCTAGCATCAATTGTTAAAATAGTTTTGAAGATCTTAATCTCTCGAAAATCTCTCAAATTATTTTAGATTATTCCTTCTCATGGCCTCTCCCACACATAATAATCAAATGCAAATAAAATTGATCTTAGTAGAAATAATAAAGTTCCATAATAAATATATTCTGAAAGCTAAGAAAGTTATTTCTGCTTAAGTGGAATAATTCTTGTTCCTATCTTCAAATACAAAAACACCGAAGTACATGTTTTTAGTCCATAACTTAGTTCAAGAAAATGTTAATTTTTTTTCTACTTCAGGTGTCTGATATGTCGGCTTTAATCATTTTATTAATTTAAAACTTCTTTTTGCATAATGTGTCTTCTCTATTATGTAGTTCTTCATCCTTGTACTCCTCTATAAGCTCAAAACAGTTCAGTAAAACTCATTAGAATCAAAAGTCCAGCAGTAATAAATTATAGTATATCCTAGAAAAATCTAGTTGCTGTACTTTGTTGGCATATATTGAAAGACAAGATGCACATAAAATAAGGTAATGAATTGAAAACATAGAGAATACAATGGACTGTGAAACATTCAAGACAGATTTTTAACTTTTTAATTAATTCAGTGGTTACATCTGAATACTGGATGAACTACTGCTATCCTGTCTCACCAAAAGATTCATGGTTAGTTGTACCTTATGACAGCTTTAGTCAAGTTAAACAAAGTTGGTTTTACTTTTATATTTTTAATGCTGAAACTTCCCATGAAACTACAGGCTTTGAAACAAAATAATTATTTCCACAAAATTGTTGCAAAAATTGAAAATTGAGGAGAAAATTATTATTACGAGTTTCAATTAAAAATAACTTCTCTCGCTCTACAGATACTGTTGCCATTATTATAACATCTTTTTGTATAAACTCACATATTCTCGTGTTCCAAACTAAAAAGGCAAAATCTATATTAAGTGAAAAAAACCTGGAAAACCTGTAGGAGCTTTTCCCCGCAGTGCAAGATGCTTATCAAGAGAAACAATAATTTGAAGAAGTTCTCTTGCTTTTTCTTCTGTATAAGGTTTGCTAGAGAAACAACAACAGAGAACAGAGAAGAAACGGATGATAACCTTAGCAAGTAGCAACTTTCATTTACCAGTCTTGTCAAGAGACTACTATGTAAAGTGTAAAAATAAAGTAAAAGGAGACTTTACTGGATGTAAAAAAAAAAAAAAAAAAAAGAAGCGTAACCGTTTTAGGACAAAAACAAGAAATGTAGAATAAAATCTATTCAATTAATGTTGAACAAAGAAGTTATAATCTTCTTACACAGGTCGATATCCACCCATATTATACACACTGTAATTAAATCTACATGGCTTTAAATCTGTAATCAGAGAATAATGGCTAAATTCTATAACATTTAAAAAAGAATATACTAATGAACAGGCAGAGACATGACTTACTTCCTTCAGTGTCCAGAAAATCTTCATCCACTATGTTGCTAATGCCTAAGAGGTTATAAAAATAAGACAATGTGATCCAGCAGCGACAGTGAAAATAATAATAAAAAAAAAATTAAGTAGCTTCTGGGGGAGTAATTCTAGTGAATAAAGTGAGGTTAATGACTTTATTTAGGCAAAAACTACCATCCAATCTGGATTTGATGAAGTACATAGTAAAATATTCTTTGAAATTGTGACAAGACTTATGACAAAGTGTAAAAGTAATTAAAGGAAATAATAATAATAATAATAATAATAAAGATACACATGCAAAAGCTGCTAACATCTAAAAGTCAATCAGTTTTGGATTTGGAGCAATTTGTCTCCAGACAATGAGCTACCTGACCTGGGGAAATGGGCTGGAATTATTTCAGATCATTAGATCATTTTATTTATTTGTTTATTTGTTTGTTTATTTATTTATTTATTTATTGTCAAAATGAAAAATACAAGGAATTCTGAAGAGTGAAAAGTAAGGGTACTTGGTTAAGTGCTGCCTGTCGTGTTTGTTCTTCTCAGTGGTTAATATGATATGGAAAGCAATGACTGAAGCACAAATAATGTGGATGGAGGAGTAACTCTGGAATGAATAAAGCTCTCTCTTTAACGTTTCTGATAAACCATGAAGACTACATAACAGTTTGTTTCTTTTTAAGCCAAGAGAAGCCTGACATTGAAAAAGTAAGATTTGAGATTTTTAAACGTTGAAAGTATCCTGTGAGTATGCTCAACACTTTCTTGATTGTGAAAAGAAGGCAAGGGAGATTTTGGACAATCAGCTTAACAGTGAGAATTGAAACTGGATAATAACAAATTGCTATAAATACAGCTATCTTTAAATAGTAAATAAGAATGGGTACCTTCTTAGAGATTTCTGTTACTAGACGAAGATACACTTTCAGAGGCTAATCTGAATTCAAGTCTTTGATACATGTATTTGTCTAGAAGTTTTAATTCTTGATGGAAAAACACTAAGATCAATGTTCATAGTATTTATTTCTGACTCTCATCTGTGCTTGAAGTTTCAGAAGCTGTTTTGAGACCCAGACTTACATGGCTGCCCACCTGGGACTATGCTGTGTTGTGCAGGAACACAATACACTGTTGTCTTCAATGAATTGAAAGAAATAATGCTGTTGCTATAAACAAAAACCATAGAAAATGTGAAGAAGCATGGATGTGAGGACCTAGCACAGTTTTAAACTGCTCTAACAGAACTGTTGTTATGCTGTTGATATTGGTACTGGTTGGGACTTCCAACCTGGCCAGCAGGAAGGAAACACATATGCTCAGTCTCATGAATTTTCATGTAGTGTGTTCACTACTGCAGGAATCACCAGTGCACTGTTGGTATCAAGAAGAAGAGACTATAGTAGGCTTGTCTGAAAATGTTCTGAGAAAAAGCCTCTTTTTTTTTTTCCTGTATGTATAAATAATTTGGATTTGTTCAACAAAAAGGAGTTATAAGAGACAGCATATTTGGTTTCTGTTTCTTCTGAATTAGTATGGAATGACTGCTTAGTGAGAAGGACAAGACTTCTCTAAGCACAGTCCAGAATTACAGAATGGTTGAAGCTGGCAGGAACCTCTGGCTCTGCCTGTTCCAAGACAGGGCACCCAGAGCAGGTGGGCCAAGAGTCAAAAACCTTAAGCTGCCACTTCTTGCTTCATTTCCGGGAAACACTGCTGCTTCTTCAACTTATTTTGGTTTAGGAACACTGACACAGCCTGAAAAGAAAGATAAATAACTCAAAGGGGAAAGCGTTGCCTACTCCTGGGTCCTTTGTAAGTTTTGCTTTGTTTTACAGACAAGTGGGACCAAAGAGAATTAGCAACTGAAACTCTTGATGTGGTGAGGGCACAGGATAAGATGCTGGTGTTTCTGAGATTTGGAAAAAAAAAAAAAAAAAAAGACTACATGATTTATTTTTCTACTTTCTTGAATTAAGCTTCTTATCAAACTGTCTGGTATCAATCAGCTTTCTGTGGATGTGCAAGCAGCACAGTTTAGTTGTGGTCTTGTCTCCATGACCCCAATTTGATGCCAGTGAAAGCAGATTACTCTACTTTGGAAACCTAACACTGATCTTGAAGATGAGGGTAATGGAGACACAGGCACTAAAACTGCCTGGAGGAGCATCACAGGTTGCAGAGCTCACAGATTCTTCACTCTGCAAAAGCAGAATCTGGAAACACTCGCTGCCCATCCATCTCTTGATCTTCTGCTGGTGCTGCCAGAAAACCTGGGTGAGATCAAAACTGCAGGAAACTTCTGGTGCTAAGAGAGAATTAATTAACCAAACTCTGGGACAAAGCAAAGGATGCAATTGACTCTAATACTGGTGTTCTAGCCTTGGAAAATGAGCGGTTCTTCATCATAATGTCAGCGAGACAGAAGTGCTCTTTTGCTTTCACATAGAGAGGGAATTAGGATAGTTGATGACTGAAAAAAAAAAAAAAAAAAGATCCTCCTTCCTGAAACAGCTTTGGTGGTCAAAACAGAGCCTAGGTGCATACCTCTGGGCAAGTGAGCAATGTATCAGTCTTTCTCCACTGTGGACTCACCATCCTCATAAGGCTCTCAGCTGCCAGTACCAATGAGGGAGATGCTAAGATTCGCCTCAAACCTTGGCTGTATTTTCCCAGTGGCAGTGCAGCGTGCTAATCGCTGAGCCATTGGGATAGCCCTGTAGGGCATTCTTCTAATAGTTTTTCTAGTTCTTCCACTGATGTCCTTATACATCTTTTATGATTTCGATAGTGATGCTACTTTCCCCAGGCACTTTCCTTCTATCTTACTCTCCGCTTGCTTTTCTTTTGAATATAGGGGGAGGGAACTACCTTAATCTTGCCCTTCATTGCAGTGCAACCTTTCAGAAAAGTTGTTTCCTTCATCTGCTCTTCCCACCCTGAGTACACATCAAGGAATTCTAAAGATGGGAAATATTTGAGCTTTTTCTCTTTAAGTTTTGATGGTCTTTTTTCCTGACTTCACGTTCTATTTAGAGGTTTTTCTTCTATATTGATGAACAGCCAGTTCTTTTCAATTTAGAATTAAACTCTAAATATTTTCTTCAAACTGTACTCATTGCCTTTACAAAGGAATGAAAACAAAATGCAGCGTCTGACATCTGAAGGAGAAAATCTTGTTACCTTATGGAGTTTTAGAAAGAAACTGTATTTTTTTAACTGCGGCTCTTCTCTGATATGCACTGCTGATAAATAGTAAAAACAAATTCTTTCCTAACTATATATTTCTCTCATATTATACATAGATAAATTCCTATGGGAATAACGTAAGCAGTATAACTTGAGATATGAGGTAGCTGATGTATATGAAGTATTAATATGAAAAATATTTTTACTTATGTATGTTATAAAGCTCTTGGAATATTGCCAGCAATGAAGGTACTGGTCAGTTAAAGAAATGCCTTATCCCTGCTCTGCCAGTAGCTTTTTTTCCCTGCAGGTCCATCTTCCTTTGTTTTCCTCTTCTCTTTTATTCTCACTTCTCATCTCCCATTCACTATTATGCAAGGTCCTTTTGAGGAGCTTCCTTTCCTTCCCTTCCCACTAACATACGTATTGGTAGCAGCAACTGAAGCAACAGTCAGTGGGCACTTGTAGAGGTGGCATGTTGTAAAATAATATTTTTCAAATATTTAATACTCCGAAGATGTGGACTTTATCTACACTTAATGGGTGGGGAGGCTGATTACTCATTCATAGCTACGCCACTTGTGAATGATGAGGTCACCCCTATCTCAGGAAGATAAATGCCATATCCTGTTATGACATATTCCTTTTGTATAAAATTAGTTCAATTTTCTCACTACTGAGGAATCAGTATAGCTGAGGAAAAAAAGTCACTTCAAGATAAAGGCATTTTTCTACTGTAATTCATTATATATCCTATTTTCATTTTATTTTATTTCTGTTCTGTTTTGTTCTATCTTATCCTGTTCTATGTATAGTATTTTACTCTCTACCTAAATGATATCTGACTAAAGTGAAGCAAAAATTAGATGATACAATGAAGCTTTGTAGCATTCTCTCTCATACCTGTCACAGGCTCCTTCCAACAGCAGATAATGAAAATTCAAAGTCAAACCATTTAACTTTAAGTAAATGGAAATGAATTTCCAGAGAAGAGAGATTTTTTCACCTGTGAAAAAAAGGAACAGCAGTATACTGACAATGTGAATCAAGATATAATATATAATTGTGATAGATAGGTATATGTAAAGCATAAATATTATATGTGATTATATTACACACTGTCATGTGTTTTTAATTTTTATCTTTATATGTTTTTGCCTAAGACAGGAAGATCTAGACTGTGTTGTATGAAACAGCAGTACTGTATCAGAACATTTCTCAGATCAATCAATACTAAAGCAACTTGCAGAATATCTTACAATGGTATAAGGCATTTAGACAAAAAGTATGTCACTCAGACACCAGAACCTGTCAATAATCAGAGCAAAATGAGAAATAAATTCAATTAAAAATATGAGGCTGGATCCTCAGCTCTTTCACACAGGCGTGCTGCACCGAATTCATTTTAATCCATCACACGGTGTTGTAGCACTGGTGAAACGCGTGGTGAATTGGGCCCACGCAATTTAATAAGGTGCAGAGAAGAAGCTTGATGATGGATATTTTCTTCAGTGTATAAAAGAAGACATGTCTCAGAAATTCTGTGTTTTACTGTTGTGATTAATTTGGGTGCAGAAGATACTAACAATCAAAATGGACTTTTCAGCAGATGAGATAATATTTTTCATTTAGTATCTTTTTAGAGTGATGAGAAAAAAAGTGCTTATGTATTCTGCAAACATTTGCAAACCTACCTTGGAATCGTGCTAGTCTCACAGCATACAAAACTATCTGTTGGTAGTTCCACTGACTCAGTGGGTCTACTTGTGTGAGCAAAGTTACCCACGCTGCCTTTTCAGTTGTGTTAACACTTAAATTCAGATACTAATCAATAGTTACCAAAGATCTCAGACAGAGAGAGGGAGAGAGTGAGTCTGGTTCTTCTCCCATGGATAAAAACTGGTGACTTTCAGGACTAAACGGGCTTGACTAAAGGCTCTCTGTCCGAGCTGTCCCTTTGAAACATGAATTCCTGCCTGGAGTTGCCACTATAGAGCAGAGAGTGACAGTCAATGGATGGGGACCTGGACATGATTACATCCACTCTATTGCCTGGACATACACTGATGGAATGATCATTTGGAAAATGTCTACTCCCCACATTTACATTCCTTTCAGCGTTGTTCCATAGCCAATTAGAGTGGTAGCCCAGCCTATATTCATGCCAGTCTTGTACTATATTGTAAGAAAAAGGAAAGGAGCAGCTCAGAAGTCTTTAATTATTCCTCCAGCCATTTATTGACCTGCTCTCTAAAGGCCATCTACGGGCCTTCATCTGCATGCAAAATTCCTATTGACATCACTGGGAGGGCCACAGGCAGATGGAAGGTACTTTGTAAACCTCACATTTTAAAGATGTTGTAAGAGAAAGGCGAAGAACTTGCAGTTCTTGAAAAGAAGTGAACAGCTTTATCTAATATAGCTCTTTAAACATGGAATTCGAATGACGTTTTTTCCTAGCGAGCAACGTTCCCTCTCTTCTCTGTGAACAACCTAACCCACACGTTTCTGTAAAGTCTTCATATTTAACACTCAAACAATTGGTGTCCCTATAGTATAAACAGGATAGATAATGAATATAAGTGGGATAGAAAATTAATCCTACTTGCAAGGAAAGAGAGTCATAATTCACTTAGGCTTCTCAGCTCTTACGTTATGAGGTCTTCAGCTAACTCATGGGATCCATTCCACATCCCACAGATGCTCATTATGAATTCTTTTTATGTGCAACATGTGGGGACTAACCAGTTTCATATCTCCTGGTATTAGCTGCAATCCAAAGCATTTTGTATTAAAACAGAATGCAAACACAGATGCTATTTAATACAAAGAATTTGAATGCAGTCTCTGTTTTAACATCAAGTTAGTGCGTTTTAATTTGGTTCGGAGCAGAAATGCAAAGAAAAGTCAAGATGAGAGGATACCGTTAGATGAGGAGCCAAGCTGAGATTCCAGGAGGCACACATGGGAAAAAGAGAGATGGGGCCAGGTGACAGCTCTAATTTATGGAAGCGGAGGATAAGGTGCCCTCAGGGCGGCGGGGCCTCTGCAGCACCGCGCACGCAGAGGCACTCCCAGCGTCCCGTCCCATGCCGGAGCGCTGTGAGCCGCTCTTCCCCGGCCTACAGCCGGCAGCGGGCTGATGCGGTGCAAGGTGCACTGCCGCGCGCCTGGCTCGCAATGTCCCCTCGCTGCTCAGCAAAGTGCACGGCAACGCACTCTTCGCTCCGGCACGCAGCAGAACGGAGCTACAGGTCCGTGGTTCGGGAGCGCCCCGACGCGCCGGGAGATCCGCTGGGACCCTCCTGCGGAAAGGGCCCTCATGTCGCCCTTCCCTCGCCCTCGGGGCGCGCTGCGGGCCCGCAGTTCCCGGCTGGGGTGCCCCTCGACCAGGGCCAGGGAGGAGAGCGCGGGCGGGGAGGCGGCGGCTCAAAGGCGCCGAGCCCGCTCTTCCCGCGGGGCGGCCGGGGAGGAGGCGAGGGGCTCGGCGCGGTGAGTGCCGCCTGCGGAGGGTTTTGCGCGGTGTGATCGGTGCGCTCACCGCACGGCGCACACCTTACAAGTTTGAGCGGCAATAACATTGCTGCACACTAGGAGGGGAGGAGAGTCAGCTCCCTATAATAGGAACAAACTCCGCCGTTGCACAAAAGCGGCGCGTTTTCTCGCTCGAGAAAATCGTCCCTTCAGAGAGAAAGGGGAGTGGGGGTGGGGAGGGGGGGAAGAGGGGGAAGCAAAAGCAAAAGCAAGTTACCAAGAGCGAGAACTCGCGCAGCAACCATCCGCCGCTCTTCCTCCTCTCCTCAGGACCGGAGCGGGGCTCTCCCCCTCCCCCCTGGCGCGGGCCCAGCCGCGCTCCGCCGCCTTTCTTATTACTTCATTGAGCCCGAGCGATCCTCCAAGAGTCGCGTTTTGGGGAGGGGGGAAGTTGGGGGGGGAGGGGGAGGTGGAGGGACGAGGAGGAGGGAAAAAGGCAACATTCGCTGCTCATCATTTCCACCGCACCGCCAAAGTAACTGCGCCCCCCTCTCCTCCCGTCCCTCAGTCTGGATTTTCTCTGTATCCACAGCCGCCGTGCTGTTAGCCGTAGCTTTTTCTTTCTTTTTTTAATTTAGGATTTTTTATTTTATTTTATTTTATTTTTTAGCTCTGCTCCCCTCCCCCCAACCCCTTCGCAGCTCGGCATCGTCCCCCCTCACCCCGCGCCCCCCCAGCCCCTTTCCATTTCGCCCGGCAGCTCACATCAAAGCGCCCTGCCTCACTCCCAGCGGCCGCCACTCACTAATGGGATTGCAGCGTGCCCGGCTCCGCCGCTGCAGCCGCCGGAGGGAGAGCCGCTGCCGCTGCGCCTCTTCGCCGAGAGCCGCCGGGTGCTGAGCCGCGGGGATGATCAGGATCTTCCCGGATTTCAGCGTGCAGGTGACGGCGGCGGCCGGCGGGGCGGCCGGGGGGGTGCCGGCGGCGCCGGGCATGGGGCGAGCCGGAGCGGCGGCCAACGGGAACCCGCAGAACGTGCAGGGCATCACCTCGTACCAACAACGGTGAGCAGCGGGCGGGAGCGGGCGCGCGGCTCTTTCCGGGGCTCCCCCACTTGCTTTTTCTTTGTGCTTTTGTGTTTCTTTGTTTTCTCTTTTTTTCTTTTCATATATAAAAAAAATATTGCCGTTTGATTGTTGGGGGGTAGCTTGGTGGGAGGGAAGAGTTTTTCCTTCCCGCTTCCTTTTTATTTTTAATACAGCATCTTTTAAAATGCACTGAGAAGTAAACGCAATCTCCTAGTTTTTTCTCGGATGAACTGGAAAGCAACAATAGCTGGGGGAAAAAAAAAAAAAAGAAAAAAAAAAAAAGAAAAAAAAAAACACGAAAGAAAAGAAAAAAGTGCGAGGAGCACGGTCGCTAGCGTGGCCGCTGCAAAGTTTGGGATCCCGTCCACTCATCCTTTCTAAAGAGGAATTTCTCAATGTCAATGCCTTGTGCAGATCCCAGTGTGTGGCAGCCAGGGGGACAATTGATCCCGGGATGCCGATTGAGAATTTGCTTTCAAGCAAGAAAGAGACCAATATTCACTTGGGGTTGCACACTTGCAATTCCACACTGTAGGTTAACAGCTTTACTGTGTCATCTGTTACTACAGGGAAATGCAGCACGAAACCCTCAGCACTGCTATTATTATATATATATTTTTTTTCCAACCTAAACGCATTCTGATGCAAATGCAGGGAATTCTCAGGGTAGGCGCCGTTAGGAAGTGGAGCGCACAAAGTTGGCAGGAACTCTCAGCGAAGTTCAGAGGGGTTCCCATCGTCCCAGTCAGCCCCGCTCCGCGCCGGCACTGCCTGAGTTCACTGCGGGCTGAGGTCGGGGTCCCGCAGTGCTGTGCAGGGCGAGACCCGGAGTGGAGCTCCGGGAGGGTCCTCCATCAGCTCAGGAGCGAAGCAGAGTGCTCACAAAAGTATTGACAACACCTCAATGTAGGCTGAGATCGGAGCGAGACACGTTCTTCTAAATGCAATAATGTCCCAACGATCTGGCTTTTCAATACTACATAAATCCTGAGAAAAAATGCAGTGTAATAACAAATACTTCAGCTAAATCTCTCTATAATGTAGAAGCTAAAACCATAGAAACTTTTAATGTTGTATTTCAAACAAATGTTTTAGAAGCCTGACAGAGCAGTGCCTGCTTTGGTCTTCAGCAACTTTGGGCTCCCCTCTCTCACTTTGGGAAACACACACTGTGTTTTCCCTCTGATGCCCATGACAGAAAATGCTCGGTGCTAACTTCTGTGGGTTTTATTAAAGGGAAAGGCACGAGCACTAATATTCTGCAACAGCCCCTGTGCTGCCCCACCACCTCCTTAGAATCATTTGAACTAAGTCTGAGTCCTTCTTTGCCACCAACCGTCCCCATACACAGTGTCTTGGCCGGGAGAGAGGGAGGGAGCGGATTAAAGTTGGTTTGTTTTCACGGTTTCGCTATGATTTTTGTCACTTACAAAATCTTTAAATTACAATGGAAACTGATGGGCATTTTAACGAGGAAGTACGGGCAGAGATCACAATAGTTGAGGCTGTGAAGTGGGGAAGTCAGGGGTCAGAAATGTCACATTGGCTTTAAGACAAATAAAAGGGACCTCTGGAGACTTTAAGTTAAACAGAAATATACAGATGAGCAGCGTGCGAATTTGTAGTGCTCGGCGTTTGGGAGTTGAGTTGCGTCAGGTTCCGACCAGGGGTAGCTCCAAGGGCAAAGCTCTGCCAAAACAGTGACGGCCCCGGGCCAGGTGCGGCCCCGCAGCAGCGGCCGCTCGGACCCCACAGCACGCTGGGTTTCTCGGGAACATTCTGCGCTTCTTCCAAATTGTAACTATTACCGACACGACGGCGTCCTCTACATTGAACGATTTTTTCTCCGAGCTTTCTGGAAAAGCTTAAATCACAGTGGGCACCGACACCTCCTTCCGCGATTGCACAAACTGAGGTGACACCTGTTAACTTTTTTTTATTATTTTTTTTCCTCCTTGTTCGAGCCGAGGCGGAAGCCGTGCGCGGAGGAGCCGGCACGTGGCACCCGCAGCCCCCTCTCTCCGCGCCCCTCCTGCACCGTCCCCGGGCTCGCGGCCCCGCTCCCGCCGGCGGTGCGTACCTGCGCGCCTTTCCCTGAGAGTCGCTGCTCTGCCGGCCCGTTCCCCGCCGCCCCCCGGAGCTGCCGCGGGGAGGTGTCCCGTGAGGGTGCCTGGCTGAGCCTTACCCGGGAACCCGCAGGGGGTCAGGCCCGGGGCGCTGCACTGCACGGCAGCGGCAAGAAGTAGCCACAAAGTTACCGCGGGGATGGAGAGCTTGTAGCTTTCTCCTATCCAGGTGTACTGGATGAGACAATTGGGACAGCGGTTCCGTTTTCTTGCTCCTTAATTTCCTGCTTACTTCCACAGTCCGCAGTGAAACTGCGCACAGCAATGCATCCTCCCAGCAAAAAGGGGCACCTCCCTGCTACCCTTAGCGCTGCGTCCCATTGCTCGGCCCCGGAGGGAGGGGGGTCTGGGGGCCTGCTCGGTGCCCGACCCCCGTCAGCTCCCGGTCCTCCGGGGGCCGCGGAGTGAGCCCCTGGGGTTTCCGCGCCCACGGAGATCTCTCGTCTCCCCGCCCTCAGCACCTCTCTCCGCCGGAGCCGCGACTCCGGAGGAGGAAAGTGTGCGAAACTGCAACTGAGTGGCGGTGTTGCGCCGGCAGCGGAGGCTGCGTCCCCTGCACGCAGAGCGGGAGCGGAGTCGGGGAAGCAGCTGGAAAATGCCCAGAAATACTTTCACAGCGGTCAAGCGCGGAGATCCCCGCCTGCCCTCCTTTCCGCCCCCGCCCCGCTAGCCCAGCGGCCCGGCAGCCCTCGTAGCCCGGCCCAAGGGCGCGAGGCCGCGAGTGTGAGCGTGTGAGCGGCTGCGTTGTGTGTGTGTGCGCGCGTGTGTGCGTGGCCGTGCCGCACCTGCCGGGCGATGCCAGCGGCCGGGCTGCCCGCCGGGGCTGCGCCGCGGCTCGCTCTTCCCGCCGTCGCCGGCTGCCGCCGCCCGCGCTGGGCATGTCTCTGGGGCCGCCGGGGCCCCGGTTCCCTCCACTCCTCGGCTTATGGACGGCGGCAGCGGCAGCAGCAGCAGCGCTAGCGAGCGAGCGAGCGAGCAACCTGCAGAAGGACCGCGCGGAGGAGCGGGAGCCCGCTATGCTTTGGCCTCAGTACTTTTCCTTAGCCCGTCTGGCTAAGCAGGGCCACCGCTGCCGCTGCTAGACACACAACACACACCAACATCAGGAGGGGGAAAAGTAAGGGAGAGAAAGAAAAAAAAAAAAAAAAGCCAGGAAGATGGCGCCCACCAAGCCAAGCTTTCAGCAGGATCCTTCCAGGCGAGAACGGTAACACTTTCTCTTTATTGAACCTGCAGCAGCAGCCGCAGCCGCAGCAGCACCGGGCCGCGCCGCCGCCGGGGCCGGGGCTGGCTGCCATGGCGGGGGGGGGGGACGCCGCCGGCACCGCCGCTCGCCCCGCCGGGCGCCGCGAGTTCCTCCGAGTGCGCCGCCGCACCCCGCGTCGCCACCGCCGCGCACGCACCGCCGCACCGACACAGGGCGGCCGGCGGCAGCCCCGCTCCGTAGCCCTATCGCCGCGGCTCACAGCGGCCGCCGCTCAGCAGGGCGCGTTGGCGAGCGGGTGTGCGTGTCTGCGTGTGTGTGTGTGCGCGGAGCCCCCCCTCGGGCGGCCCCCACCGCTCGGCGGCCCCGAGAGCAGCGGGGGGGGAGGGGGGGAGCGGGGCGCCGCGCCAGGCCCGGCTTGCCGGAGTGGAGGGGCCGGCCCCGCCTGTGCCGTTCAAGTGCAGCTAGGCCGGAGCGGGGGGGCCGCGCCGCCGACGGCCCCCGCGGCCCGACCCAGCCCCGCTGCAGCCCAGAGGGTTCCGGCGCTCCCCGGGGCAGGCGGAGCGGTGCCGAGGCGCGAGCGGGCGGGAGGCGGGCGATGGGAAGACGGGCGCGGGGCTCCATCCGGTCGCCTCTGGGACTTTTGTTGGGGAGAGCGCTCGCTGTGAACGCGCTGCCCTGCTGACAAAGATCTCCCATAGCGGATCTGTTGTAGCGAAGTGAATCTTTCTAGAAGTGACCAGGAAGAAACAAGAGTGCAAGTTCATGTGATGTTACTTTGTGCTCCTTAAAAAAGTGCTCCAAGCTGCGGTGCTGCACTGCGAGGAGAGCTGCGTCCAGAAGTGGAGGATGGGGGGGGGGGGGTGGCTTCTTCCACCTCTTTCCTTCCCTTCAGAATTGAACTTAAGGGTGAAGGATAAGGAGCTTGTTTGCTGTAAAAATGAAAATTAACATTTAGACAGCTTTTAGAAGTAGCTGGGCTGCGTGTTGCTTTCTTTCTA